AAATCATGAGTATAGGCAGGCATCTGAATTTTCAGAATTCAGACATGCTCTTACCAGAAGGCAGATATATGTTAATATGAAAAACCAAATTCCAAGCTCAAGATGAAACAAATGCTGCTGAAATTTCATGTAGTTCATGGAGAAATTACACGTTTTGCAATAGTAAAGTTGCAGGCCAGTCTTGACACTAAAGATAGACAACCTTCAAAGAGCTTTATAAAAAATTGAAGTAAAACATATAGTTGGATTAAAGAAAAAACCACAAAGAAACAAAGGAAAGATAACCTAGAAATCGATCGAGTACTCTAAAAAAAAATATATGTGGAGGGTGAACCTAAAATCTAGAATTCATACATGTAATATCAAGCCATTCTCATGTTTCATTGAAAAATCCTTTAGCAGTGATGGATTTAAAGGGTGGTGAGTGCGTAAAACAGTACAATGCAGTGTTTGACTGCATAGTGCAGTGCATAAAGAATATAGCATTGACTGCATAATGCAGTGCATAAAGAATATAGCACAGGACATTTAAGAAGAGATAAACATAATAGTTGCAAAAAAAAAAATGCAATACACAGAAGGGTATCCAAATCCTGAACACCAGAGCAGATGAGTCCAGCATTGCACATAAGGTACCAGTTCATATGCCCTGGGTTGAGAATAAGTCGTAATTGAAGTTTTCAGTATTTATTAACAGGAAAAAACTACTTACCATCCCTGATCTGTGCTTGTTGCTCCATAGCTTGAACCCGGAATTTCAACTCATTATTCTGACTGGTTAACTCAGCATATTCTTTCTGTAATAGAGATATAAATCAAGTTATCACATTTCTAACCCCACTTTTCTTGACATACGCAAATCCTACAACTTAAAGGGGTGGCCACACTAGTCCACTATTACGAGGCTTAGCAATTTAAAAGCAGAATGAATTCTAGCACACGTCAAGGACAGCTTTGTCTGGAGAGCGAGTCTCTAGCAGGATATCATTTCATGACCCTCAGGAATTTTCAGTTTTTCAGCTGAGCTACTATAAAAGTAAAAGTTAACTCTACATGGATTGTAAGGAAGGATAAACAATTATTATGAAATATGAAATTGTGAATCAGATCAATCAATATTTGTTACTTAAGAGATAAAAGAAAGGCGAACGGATAGACCTCTGGAGTCTGGATATAGCCTTCTATTGGAACAATAAAATTCAAAAATGACAAATGAATCATTGTCATTAGCTAATTAAACACATTCACTTTGCTGTATCATTTCAATTAATGTTATTCATTAAAATGCAAGAAAAGAAATGAACTAATCAAGAACTCAAAAATATTTTTTTTTTTAAGAAAAAGCAAGTTACATTTCAATTAAGTTAATGTCAAATTCTCATCCCAGTTGATGATTAGAACTTATTACTAACCTATAGAACTTACCGTTATCTACTAAGTGTCGTTAACATAACAACATATTCAAAGCATCCACAAATTTTAAATTTGGTAAAATAATATATCTTTTCTCCCTAATTGATAGAATTTTCCAAAAACAAATAATTTAGTTAATTATAAATTTATTCATTGTTGAAATTACAAATAAGAAACTAAAGAAAAACTATAATTTATTTTATATAATTGACTTTGTAAATAACTAAAAAAAAAAATATGAACACAAGTTTCCTTTCCCCTTGGCACACTAAAGTCATTTTATTTTCCCACCTAACCTTTTGATTTCTGCTTGTGGGTTTTCCACAGTCTACATCATCAGAACACCCAGCAAGTATTAAGTATAAAAAGTTCCCTCAATCGAGGGGTCCCAGGTCGTTATCTTAGACTTTCCTTCCAAACAATCAATTTCCTAGCATTTTTTTTGCGAAACAAGTGCCATTTATTTTCCAATATGACTACATCACTCTAATAAAACTGCAACATCTTTATGTATTATGAAGTAGATTTATATCACCACTCACTAACTAGAGGTGAAACATTGTAATCTTGTGCCAGATTCAGTACCTGTAGAATAGTGACTTGGGCAGATAGTGTGGTAGCCTCAGTTTGCAGCGTCTGCACCTTATGTTCCAAT